TCTTGCTGTTTTAAATGTTCTTCTTAATATTAGAAAATCATAAATTTAGCTAGTTACATTTAAAAGGACATAGACATATTTTACTACTCTTTCAAAATAGAATTTTCAGAAACACATTGAGAAAGGAAGAAATTTATGAAAAAAACATGCAAGGGAATACATTCCTAAGAAAAGAAAGAAAGCAGAAGGTTGGGAACTGTTGTTATTTGAGGGTCCTTCTCATGTCCAGAAATGAAAAAGGCTGGTCTGTTGATGCCAGATCAAAGAAGCATGATGCACCAGACATGTATTCTAAAGCCCAATCTCATCAAAACCAGATGTGGACAGTGAGATGAAGAGATAGAAAGTAAGAGAGAGCATGCCGAGAAAAGGGTAGAGAGAACAACAAAGACATAGCAAGATAGAAAATGGCTAAAATAAGAATAAGCACTAATGAAACCTGACTACTGGACAAGCAAGAGAGGATGAGGGAGCAGACAGGTTTGTGAAAGGGAAATAGGTGGATTGTCTGATCTTGTTAAAGTGTCCAGCGAGAAGGAGAGAGAGAGAAAAAAAAAGAGAGAAACAGATGTGTGTGTGAACAATGCTGTAGGTTGTGAGCACAGCTGGATTTTTGCCTTTAACACAAAAATTCTCACAAAAGCCCTCAGGCCATCCTCAACTACTGACCAGACTGTGAGTTTCCCCTACACTCCTCTAACTAGCATGCTGAATATGGGTCAGAATGTTTTGCACAGCTAACAAACATGCACATACACTCAGGGCTGTCTCAGAGTGTGGGCAAAAGTGGCGGTCACCCAGAGCCCCGGCCTTTGAGGACCCCCACACTGATCATGCATTAGCTAAAATTACAGCATGTTAAATGGACGTGGAGATAAAATTCTCTGATCAGCAAGAACAATGCAAAACAGCTACTGAGAACTCTAACTACAAGGGATTTTTAAGCAGATAATTTTTTACTTATTGTAGAACAAACTGCTGCCGAGAGACTACAGCAAGTGGTGAAGGAATGTGGGGATGGGGAGAATTTTGTAGGTGAGAGAAAGCAGCAACTTTAAACAAAAGCCTGGCGGATCTGTCAGAGCATGTACAAAAAAAACGAGTGTTTTTGATAACAAAGAATGAGTCAATAATAAAACGAAACAACGATATCAGTAGTCTAGCTGCTAGACTACCCATCACCTGCTAGCTGCTCTGCTGTATATGAAGTATATTTTATTTGTATTCAGTCAATAACTTTTAGGGATTAACTGTACGCCATATGTAATTTTAATATTGGCGGAAATATTTGTTCTGTCTAGGGTCCTTAGTCCTAGTCCTTTCGCTCTTTTTCATTAAAATGAATTGCAATTACGAAGTGCAATTCTGCACCCAAATCAATAGCAGATACCCCAACTACCCCAAACACAACTATGTTATAGATGGGCATCCACATTTACTCTGTGAGTATATTGTAATTTTCCATAAACCCATTGTATATGCAGCTTTGCATAAATGCATTCAAGGTGTAAACTCTGCATCAAAAGACTATTTAATCAAGTATGTTTCCTTTGCTATGCTGTTGTTCACACACTAGTTATTTTTGGTTCTAAAGCACAATTCTATGTACATAGCACTAGCACACGCACACACACAGCCCTGGACCCTGCACACCACTTAAGACTACACTGTACACGCTTACCCTAACGCACACAGCACACACAGTGTAATCCTTATGACATAAATGTAAGTATACTACACAGATACTGTATCAAAGTGTTTACAACCTAAATCTAATCCCAGTAATGCCAGTAAAGTTATATAATCTATCTAAACCCCAGGAATCCATACAGATGCAATTTGACATGGAGACTATTATCAAGGTTTAACTGCATTTCAGATTTGTGCTGCATAATAACATGCGTTGTAACATTTTGCGTGCGTGTGTGTGTGTGTGTGTGTGTTTGATTAGTTTCTCTGACGCTCTTAAATCATATGTATACTTAGCCGGGCACAAGCCTTAGATTCTAAAATGTTGCAGTGTGATTGGCTCTCCCCAGTTCCATGCACTGGTTTCTGATTGGAAAACAAGCCATTATACAGTGAGCTTTAGGGAGCAAGATCACTGGATTTAAAAAAGGTTTATTGTCTTTACAACTTTAATATTTATTTGAGAATTTTGTTTGAGATTCTCAAATCTTGTTAGTGGCGAGTCAACAAGGTTGGCCATTTGCAATATCAGTCAAACTGACTTTTGTGAAAGTGCGCAATTACTTAATTAGCAGGGTTTGGAAAATGTACAGAGAAGTTGTACTTAAGTAAACGTATAGGTACTGTCTCAAAATTTTACTCAATTAAATGTAGAAGTATGTGGGAGGCAAATAAGACACGTCATCCTCAGTAACCCCTACAAAGGCCATCTTGCTAAGAAAAAAATGGGGAAAAAATAGAAAAAGAGAGTTTTTGAGATTTTTAACAAGACCTCTGAAGGTCAAAATGAAAATGTAAGAAGTAAAAAGTATGTTTTTTCCCTTGTAAATTTACTTGAGTAAGAGTATAGGTATTCAATTTCAATAATACTTGAGTAAAATACAAATCTATCAAATAGTATGTAACTTACAGTAAAAAAGTACAATTATCAAAGTATTTTCCACTCCTCATAATTAGTGATGGAAAGTGCCACACTCTTCAGCAAAAGATAGAAGTCCAGCTCACGAGACGAGTGTGTGACTTACTCCCTCCCTTTCTGCTTTTACAAGCGCAGTGTAATACTTATTTCAGCTGCTTTATTGAGGGCATCAGTTCTGAAACTACAGTATAAAGGTGGCCTGAGAGTTGTAACTAACTGAAATAGTACATTATAGGAATGGGCGATATGGCAAAAATGGCATAACAATATCTAACCATTACCATATTAACCATTACGGTACTTGAAATCCTCTTCAACACACTATATGTATGACAGTATGTCTTCATATATCATGATATGTATCACAATATACACTCACCATCCACTTTAATATGAACATCTGTACACCCACACACTCAAGCAATTATCAGCCAATCAAGTGGCAGCACCACAATGTATAAAATCATGCAGATACAGGTCAAAAGCTTCAGTTAATCAGAATGCGGAAACAACAGAATGGGGGAAAAGGTGATTTCAGCATCTTTGACCATAGCATGGATACTGGTGCCAGGCAGACTGGTTTGAGCATTAGAGACATTGACGATCTTCAGGGATTTTCACACACAACATTCTCTAGAGTTTAGAGCTGTGAAAAACAAAAAACATCCAGCCCAGCCCTAGTACAATATTTATGTTACTTGCAGCAGTTGTGCTGGTTTCCTTGCAGCAGGACTGTATCCAAATCAACACAATTACACCCAACCAGTGGCTATGTTATAACGGAACTATACATACAAGTTTAGCAGAAACCTGAACCTCAAACTTCACAATCCAAAACTTACAGTAAAGTAAATTGCACAGTTATGGGAATAACTGTGCTGTTTATGGGTGTGGCAATTTACAAAAACATGGCACAGATCTGCTGTTTGTTTTTGTCTTCTTTGTTATCAACGTCTGACCATCTCTGGCAGAGCAATGAGTCTACTTCCTATTGCCATGAACCACCACCTGTCTCGCACGCTCGCTCACTCTCTCTCTCTTTCTCTTTCTCTCAGTCTCATACCTCCTCCCCCTTTCCATGACCCACTTTTTCCCATAGAAAAACATTAAATGTTCCGTCTATATGACTGACAGGTAAAAACCCTTGTGCTTAAAGGAGACTTATAGGAGGAATGTAAAATATCTTCATCCATTAGGAAAGAACATAAAAACAGAAAAGGCTTAACTCAGGTATGCATTATCTATCAATACCTGCTTTAGGAGCACATCTGGATTGTGGATTGTAGAAATGAAACTAGTAGTCCCGTGTGTGTGTGTGTGTGTGTGTGTGTGTGTGTGTGTGTGTGTGTGTGTGCGTGCGTGTGTGTTTTCACGTGATTCTTGTTACTAATCATTTGAGATGCCACAGTAATTTACTAAAATAAAATAATTTATCTTAACTCAATCACAAAGAAATCAACCAAATATACTGGATTTCCTGTAACTCCCTTATTAAAATCATATTGTAATTGTTTTGTTTGTTTTGTTTTGGCCACTAGCTGTGTTGCAGATGCATTCCCAGGCTGAAAATTACTCACACTCCATCTGTTTCTCTTTAACTCATCTCCTCTCCATGAGAGCACAATATGAGGCTTAATTTTAGGTTGGAGGCTTTTGATTTTAATAATGAGATAAATCTGTGAGGGGGAGTATAAAATAAACAACGTCCGGATTTTAGTTTCACCTCAATCCCTTTTGGTCTCACAGCAAGATTCACCTTTACTTTGATGGCATTACCGATTATAAAGGACATGATAATTTCTGTTATGCCTATCGTAGAAAGGGGTATATTTAAGAGATCAGGTGGAGGTTTCTGTTAGTTCAAGGGTTCTGTGAAAGACATTTCATCTAACTTGTTACAATGCTTCTTGTCCTGTCTTTGCACTCTCTTGCAGGTTCTGGCTGATCTGGAATCTCATGAGCAGATGTTATGACGCTCTGCTTGGGTGCCAGTGTATTTCTGAGCTAGCGCAAAACCACATGAGAGAACAACAGAGCAGGTTAATCAACTAACATTGTCAAGCCGCTTTCTAGTTCAGGCAGAGGACCCCAGGTGTATCTGGGAGAGTGTAAAGTGAAAGTGAGAGAGAGAGCGAGAGAGAGAGAGAGAGAGAGAGAGATAGATAGATAGATAGATAGATAGATAGATAGATAGATAGATAGATAGATAGATAGATAGATAGAGACAGCAGTTGGGTTATAGATTGTACTGAGGCCTTTATAATTATGTTCTGCTATGTATTGAATGGCAATAGCTGCACACACTACATAACTTTAGACTAACACACATTTGATAGAAAATGGTGGAGGATAACTGACTCATAATCTTAAATCATGCTTATTAACCATATGGGCAGTGGTGGCTGAACGGTTAAGGCTCTGGGTTATTGACCAGAAAGTCGTGGGTTTGAGCCCCAGCACTGCTTTCTAGAAAGCTGGCATATGCCAATTATTAGTATTTGTGGGGCAGTCTCTCTTTAGAGAGTCGGACTTGTAACCTGAAGGTTGTGGGTTTGAGTCTCAGGTCTGGCAGGGATTGTAGGTGGGGGGAGTGAATGACCAGCGCTCTCTTCTACCCTCAATACCACGACTGAGGTGAGACCCTTGAGCAAGGCACCAAACCCCCAACTTCTCCCTGGGCACTGCAGCAAAAAAGGCTCCGGGTTAGCCCACTGCTCCGGGTGTGTGTTCACGGTGTGTATGCACTTGGATGGGTTAAATGCAGAGCACAAATTCCGAGTATGGGTCACCATACCTGGCTACACGTCACTTCACTCACATAACCACCTGATATTCTGTCTGGCTGCCCAAATGCACAGCAAATTTATGGTCATACTTATTGAGCCTTCCAATACCCTATCAGAAATATTATCTTGTTCTCATTTGGCTAAGTTTGTGTGACAGGCTCAAAATGAATGAACATGACTCAAATCAATTACAAAAACAGTCGATTCCCTTGTTCCAGAAATTGTAAACTAACAGTCAAACCCAAAGCTTTGGAATTGATTCGACAGACTGAAAATGATTTGCACATACATGGCAAGCAAAATGAGCAAATTTAGCATACAGTGTGACAACCAGTCTATATTGGTATTTCTTTTCAATGTGCAGGTAAGATCCACTCCCAGTGACTGACCATTGATCAATTGGTCACACTGATATATAACTGCCTAAAAATGTGTGTAGAACAAGTAAACAATATATATGGAATACGACAAACTTACTTTAGTTTGGGTGTCTATATAAGCACTTGATAATATTCCCTTGCCGTGACATACAATATAAATTATAATAAGGTTAGTGACATGGTATTAATTATGCCTGGTTAAGAGTTCTGTAGTAGTATTTCAGTTACTAATTGAATATAAAATTAAACATATTTTAAATAATTAAAACAAATGTGAGTTGATCAAATTGATCAAATGACAGTTTGCAGCTGATCAATGCAGATGGCTTATACTCCCTGGTATGTCAGTTTGCTGTGCATATGTTTGACGTGAGCTGTGTAATATCTTACAAGCTCTGTTTACACACACAGAGAGATTCATTGTATACGTGTGTGTGTGTGTGTGTGTGTGTGTGTGTGTGTGTGTGTGTGTGTGTGTGTGTGTGTGTGTGTAGAGGTCAGTTTCTGTAGGTAGTATGTGGAATGTACAGGAAAAAGATGAGCACTTATTCTGAAAAATGTGTGAAAGTCTAAGCAGAGTCCAGTGTTCATAAACTCTTACAGTATTCTGTGTTCTGTTAAAGTGAAATACTACAGCCTTTTAAGGTGATATATTTTCTCTCTGTTTTATGTGTAACTCTTTCTCTCACTGTCAGATACTCAGTCACATTCCACTGTGACATTATAGTATAACTACTACATTTGAATTATGAAAAACACACGTCTTTCTCTCTCTCTCTCTCTCTCTCTCTCTCTCTCTCTCTCTCTCTCTCTCACTGGTAGCAGATGTTTCCAGGCGTTCATGGTTTAGATGTGTGGAGAAGCTAAAAGCTAAATTGAGTACTGTTTGCATGTGTGTATTTACTTGACACACCCAATCTAAACAACAGACAACAAACTAGACACCTCAAGCACAGCAGGTACACCTAAAGACACTGTGCATTTACGTTTCACCTGACTGAGCACTAGAACATATCCTGGAGAAAAGACCTTTACAGCGCAAACAAAGACCTAAACATGACATGAAGAAAACCACATACATTTGTGCTATATATATAGATTTATATGGAGCAAAGACAAAACATTTCTTTTAAGTCTTTTAAGCCAAAATGTCTTTTTTTGGACATTTGTAGGAACATAACATTTTTGCACTTCAGGCTGTTTTGAAAATCATATATGAGGAATAATTTCCCTTTGGCATTTTAAGTTGATGCAGATGCAACTCATGCTTGTCAGCTGTTCAAACAGAAAATGTTCTGTGTCTCTGTGTGTGTGCCTCTGTGTATGTGTGTGTGTGTGTGTGTGTGTGTGTGTGTGTGTGTGTGTGTGCGCATGCACTGCATGAATAGCTGCATTGAAACAAGAGAAGTAGAACTGGATAGCTATAAGTAATCTACAGCAGGCATACCAAGGCTGCAGTAAGAACCATTGTACCAGGATTCAGATGTTAATTAAAAGAAACTGGACAATTCAAACCAATGCCATATATACTGTAGCTAGGAGGAGCTGTACTGCAGCTAGGGGTCAGCATTTAAAGTTGAGCTGCAATGAGATCTTTGTGTTTCAGGTGCAGTGATTCATGTATATTTCGATGCAACAATCAGTAACAAAACTTTCTTTGTAACAGGTTTGTAATGTGGCTTCCTGCCTAACAGGGTTAACACTGACTCATTAGAAAAAGATGAAAGAACAAGAGTAATGCAACCAGCTGTTATAATCATACATAATCTGCAGCAGTCCGTGACTGTTCCACAGACTAAGGTAAAATAAGGTCAGCTCCATCTACCCTCCTGTTCATCATGACTGTTTTAACAACTCAAGCACTGAATTCTATTGGACGAGAATCTATATTACACGTACTGACCAAAATAACAATGATTCTAGATGTGTGTCCAGCAGCTCAATAGTAAAATTGGAATATATATCCTGTGCTTTGTTTGATACACCTTGTGTAATCTTAGCCAGTGTTCAAATGCCCTGTATTGTAGTCTAGTCTTTTTGTGAATTATAGCATTTTATATCTGAAAGTCTAAGCTGTTTTCCTTTCCCCTAGCTCTTTCTAACTATTTTGACCCTGGTCATGTATTGTATTCTGATTATGGTTTACACACTCTGCCTAACTGCTGTTTGTCCTCTACACCAATGACAATCCTGAACATCCCAAACAATGCTCTGGGCACACACATCCTACCTCTGATTCCAATTCAGTACACTGTAACACACCAGTCATATACACCACATATACACGCATATGTTTGTTTTACTATCCTCATGAGGACCTTCCACTAACACAATTATTACTGCAGCTAATTAATGCTATGCCTATACCTAAAGCTAACCTTAATCTTAAACCCAGTAACCAAAATAAATCCCTTTGGCTCCTTTAATTGTTGTATTAAACCCATAAAACCATATACGAAAAGCCATATATTCCTATCCTTGATCTGATTAAACTTCTCTTTTTATTTTACAGACACTCTGTGGATGCTTTTCCACTTGATCAGCATCTTTCATAAGTCTTTTTGTGTAATGTTCTTCAACTATCTTTATTGCCTCAAACATGATCACAGTAGCCAGTCTGTCTACATTTGTCTGGGTTATGCTGTATTTATGAGGAGGAATTCAGAAGAGCTGTTGCACTCCATGCATGTGTGTGTTCCGTGAGATTTTCAACTACAGTCGCTGCCTCAGAAATCAAACAGCACCCTCTATTGGGCAGTGAAAAGTATTAGTCTCGTCTGAATATTTAGTTAAAATATGTCACCTTAATTCAGGCCATCATGAGCTTCACAGTTATGTCTCATACTGATCCTGTGTCCAGGTAACAGGAGTAAAACCAGATTTCAGTCTGCTACCACACATGACTGGAAGATGCCTGACTCACTGCAGTGTCATTCTCCAATATCAGTTGAGCCACTCCTGAAGGGTGAAATGATTCATTGTAAGTCAATCCCAGGCTTCTATTAAAACCATTTTACTGCAGTAATGAGAGAGAGAGCGAGAGAGAAAAGGGGAGAGAGAGTAACAGAGAGTTTGTGGTTCCTGTGGCAGACATTAGACACACCTGTCTCCTTGATCATTTTAATGTTTACTCTGTACTTTGGACAAGAGAGAGAGAGAGAGAGAGAGAGAGAGAGAGAGTGTGTGTGTGTGTGTGTGTGTGTGAGTGCGCATGCGTGTGTGTGCCTGCGTGTCTAGACATAGTCATTATACGCACCTGTGCTCCTCTGTTTCTAGAGCGCATTGTGGAAAGACAAGAGCAAGGGTGCAGAGCAAAATTAGCTGTGCGATATATATAACCATTTAAAATGATATAGATGTATCTCAATAATACGAATATGTAGAAAAATTCTAGAATAACTTGCAAAAACCCAAGAACAGAGAATATTCATGGATTCTGTAGCTGCTTCCCGCTTCACGATTGATGCCACAGGCTGCCAAGTTACCAAACTTGGAAGACTTGGATAGCTTTCTTATAAACAAAGTCCAAACAAACTTCCATGTTAGACAATTCATACTCCCATTTTCTCAGAATCAGGATTTAACGCACGGTTTATCTAAAATAACTTAAAACTTAGAATTATTGCTTCGGTCGCTATCACTATGTTACAATGAACTATGGGTCTATCAATATGTTATCACTGGCAAATCACCCAACAATAAATCCTGGATATTTTGGTAAGACCAAGAACATCCTAGAAGATTTTAATTGTTTGCATTCTTCAGCTGAACTTGGGCAGTGAAAGATGATGTTGGGTCAGTGCACATTAATGCAACAACAAAGTAGAACATGATGACCATAAACTTCCCAACAACTCCAGAATTGCTGGAACAGTTCATAAATTGAAAAAAAAGAGAAGAAAATCCATTTAACATGAACACTTTAAATTAGTGATATACCAAATTTAAACATATATAGATACAGAATAGGTTTTTGTATAAAAAAGGAGTGCATTTTTTTTCTCTAAAACACTGATTTTTAAAATGATCTACACCCTATAATTGACATATGCTGAAACCTCCCCTAAAAAAACAAAAAACAGCTCTCAGCCTCTTCCCGCAATATCTAAGATTGGAGAAAAACTGAAAAACATACCATTTGTTTTATCTATGGAATGGACTTTTACTGTGACAGTGCTGTTTGAGAAAATGAGAAACATCTCCCTGGGAAACCTGTACAAATGTTGTGGTGAAAGTTGATTCTCACCAACTGGGAATGCTTCTAGTTTCTCTGATGCATCAACATTAAGTGTTACAAA